CTCTTACCGCATAGTCACCTAAAAAAAGGCCCCGAAATGACAAATGTAAAATAAGTCAAACGAAAAAACCAACGGCCTGATTTATATACAAAACAATTGACGAAAAACAAATATGATATACAGATACAAACGACAGCCACTGAATTACAGGCTCCAGACTTTGACAGGCACATACAGAATGTGGCGGGGTAAAACATGTTTGAATTAAGGCGCCAACCCTCAACTGTAATTTAAAGACAGTTGTCATCATATTAGGCCTGATAAATCATGTGAGAGACAAACTACATTCGTTCATTATATATATATATATCTAAGCCTACGAGTTAAAACGTGCAAGTGCTTCTTATTTTTTATATAAAAGAAACACAACTAAATGTGTTTGTTCTTTAAAATTTCAGCTCAGTATTATAATATCTTTACTCAAAGGGTTACGTCCGAGCTAATTTACCAGTTCTAGAAAAATATATCAATCCAAGGTAATTTAAATAGTTAACGATTTAAAGCCTTTTATATTCAGAACTCAGATTTAGTGGTAGTCTAGCTACATTTTGGAGAAAAAAAAATGTTTTTCGTATCAAAATTTACACAAAGATCCCAGGTATCACAATTACTTTTAAACTTATAAAGGTTGTAGATCTTTCAATAACGTTGCCAATATCAAAATTTCATCTACCTAAAGAATGATGTTATATTTGGTTTGAAGGCTTGGGCTCAGATAGGCCAAGAAGGAAGTCATTTAAAGGTTTGAAACTATAAAATGTGTCGGCTTTGCACGGAATACACACCTGTACCGAAGTAAATTTTCAAAAAAGAAATGTACTTTTAACTCTTCTCCTGTCCTCTTTGGGTGCAGCACTTTTAATTACTACGTAAAACTGAGCATCTGCCTCAGGCAAAATTGACCTTTCTGATTATAGGTCTTTTTGAGATTATTACACTAAGCCAGTAAAAATGGCCTGTCAAGCTGTTAAACGTTGACATTTAGTGGAACAAAAGTATAAAAATGTGATTTCGATGAAAAACTATAATGTGCTTTGATTACCGTTGATTACCCGGCTTTCAAAATGCAAAATGACCTTATGCAATCATTTCGATGTAGATCCAGAGAAATGCCGGGCAGCCTTTATACCCGAGACATTCCAGGCCTCTTTTGTATATATTCAAAATTTCAAAATTTCAACCCCTGCTTACTAGTAATTGATTATTGTGTTGTCCTGACTCCCTGTCTTCCAATAACCGTAAAATTCTGTTCTCTTGTTGTGGACTCTGAAGTTTGTGTGTTTCGTGGAACTGATGCTTTTAGTTCAAAAGGGCGAATCGGATAATTTATTGTTTTAGTATTTTGGCTACACAAAGGTCTGATCTCTGAAATAGATATACATTATCCATTTTTGTTCCTGAAAATAGTTTGTTTAAGTAGCTAGGTTTGCAAACAAAATTACTTCAGGACAAAAATCAACGATTTGCATAAAATAAGCCTTTGTCGACGATTTGAAAAATTAGACCGTGAATTTACACTCAGACTCGGGTTAAGACTAAAACCTTTATAATTATGAAAGTAGTATGCAACTCATCTTATATAGATGCTCGTTCTTGATGAAATACTTGCCACTGAACAGAAGCAAACAACAATTAATCAAGTATAATCGATGTTTGTAAGGCTCATTGTGTGATACAATCTTTCTCAGATACCTTACAAGAGGCATCGGATTTAATGTCCCCGTTCCGATCTTTCGTGAATGCGTATTTATACATCCCGGGAAAGCCAAACAAACGCACCACCTTAGCAAGAATTTAATGACAGTCGGGATTTCCATATTTCTAAACTCCAGTCATTCCTTGGGGTTTAACAAAAAAATGTTAGGACAAAATGTCAGAATTAGTAACTTTACAAACTTTTAGTTCATCAATTTTAGACTTTCAAAGTATATATTTCTTGACACCATTTCCTAAAATTATCCAACTTACAGCTTTTCTCAATAAAATTGGATCATAATATTATGTTTTCAATAGATTTTTTTAACAGAATTCTATAAGTATATATATATAAATATAAAAATATTGTTAACCAACGCAAACATAATTTTAAATTGAATTGTGACCTTTTGTCTGCAACTTTTGTCCTATAAATGTATGTCCTCTCTAGTACGTATATCCATACATCTACAAAGCTTTGTATTAGTTGTTTTTAAAAGAAAATATAACGACAATGTTTAACCATATATTTCACGGAAATTTAACCTGATGTAGATGTTGTAATTTACAAAATTTCGTAGAACTAGTAAGTTATACATCTTTCGTGGAAGTTTAGTAAGAATCGGGACTTAATTAAATCCGATGCCTTGTGTTACGAGACTGTCACGTTCATTGGACATTAAGAACCATTGCCACAACTATATTTGAGGGTTCCGTAGGTGGCCTGTTGAAAGGCCAAACTTCGATCCCCATGGCTATCAAATATACCCTCAGTTTCCAGTTGCATTCCAAAGTTCCTGCCCTCCATCCTGGTCGACCTCTATTTCAGGACCGACCTATTTGGTTTATTGTCAATTTGAATGTGCATGAAATATTTGCCACTTGGCGTAAAACAAACAACAATCTTTCGTAGAAACGTAGATGAAAGTATCTTTTATATATGTCTGGAAGAATGTAGAAAAAAAAGTCACAGAAAAAAGTCACGGAAATAAAGTCACGGATAAAAAGTCGCAGGAAAAAAGTCACAGGCAAAAGTTCCAAGAAATAAAGTATAGAAAGGGGGGGGGGTTAACTGTACATACAGCTTTTTAACAAAATTGTCAGAATATTTCATAAGCGGTAAAGCAATTATTTGACTTTTAGATCAAACAAAAGTTAATGCAGGAATTAATGTTAACCCAAACGAGACATATAGTATTTCAGTTTTCTTCCCATATTCAAATATTTCCAGTAACAGAATAACCCAATCAGTGAATTCAATAAACGTTAAAATTATATTTTACAATTCATTTAAGTTATAAAACGGTGAAGATATGACTCGCAGACAAGTGGCCCCAGAAAGTACAGATTCTAAATTCGAGATAGGGAAATCGAATTAACATATGGCTGCCAAAATTATCGTCAAATTTCTATAATTATAAGATACAATTTTAATCATTTCACGGTAATTTAACCTGATGTAGATTAAACAAACCATAAAATTTTAATTTTATTCCAACTTAATATATGTAAATTACCGTCTAACAATAGGGTGTATCAAATTTATGACCAAAACACAGTTTATCATTCGTGTTTTACAGAGGAAATCAAGTTCTTCTCACTGTTTAACCCACGGGTTCAGAAGTGAATATCTACGAAAAGTCAATTAAATTGTAAAACAAGTTGTTAACCAGTTTATTAAGTCCAGGGGACACAGGGATATTTTACAATCCGGGACTTTGATTTTACCGGGCAATCATTGATTGTATACAAAGTCCATAAATCAATTTATTTACAGTATTGTTATCGCTGATCGATCTGAAATTACTCAAATATTGAACAATCACTTGATAAAATTTGAAAAATTGTCTCATTAACAAAAGTTTGAAATTTTTCTTTGAAGTTTTCCACAGATTTGAGTCCGTAGTAACGGAATTTCGGATCGATAGAGTTTATAAATTAAAAAAAGAATGAAGTCGAGATTTTGGGTGTATATATGAATAAAAACCAAGAACAATAGTAAAAGCGACTTGAAACTTTTAGATTGATTTATACATATTAGTCTCAGAGTCTATGATAAAAAGTAAAAAATAAAATATTTCACAAATACGGATATAGAATAAGGAGATGTTATACAGTAGTTCTTTTTAGTTTGTTGATGCCAGAAAATAACCATTCAAAGACCTCTTAAAATCGTATTAATTATAAGAATATAAATTGCAAGTTTATCAATCTCTGTAAGGGATCTTGATTGTATGAAACCAAATAGATGGTTTACAAAAACGTTTTGCTTGATGATTATTTTCTCCTTCATCCAAGAGAAACTAAAGAGTAAACCAGTCAACATGCACGAACAGATTTAATCTCGTTAGGAAATGGTGAATGGACATTAAAACTAAATAAATTAGATGTGAGCAAACATATAAAATCAAGCCGTTACATTTGATAATTTCTGAATCCATAATGTCCGCATTAAAATAGGACCCCGTTTAGAAACAGAGGAAGCCGTCCATCACCGTTTAACAAACCGTATCTCCAATGTTCTTATAAATGGGGATATAATCGGTCAGAAGGGTTTCAATTACTTCTTTAAAAAAATCTTAATGTACATAAAATTAACATGGTATATCCCTTTGTATTTTAAAACAGTTTCGTAATAACAAGCATGTTTTCTAAATGTGTCTGTGTAAAAATTATCAAATCTTTTGATCAGAAAACCATGGTAACGTTTATAGAATTATAGTAATTTCTAAACGGAAACCAATACCACAAAAGAAATCAATTTTGATTCAATAATTCCCATGATATTTTTCTCATTTCCTGGCCAACAAACAATTCCCTGAAGAGACCATTATTTACTGACCTAAGTTTGCCCTTTAACTCTGTTTATAAGGATGTTTACTTCTTTTTTGAGGAAATTAAAGAAATAAAATGACTTTCCGTTTTCAAAATTGATTTAAGGTTACTTTATCCAATTAAAGAAATGTAACAATTCAAAAACCTGTGAAATTTTTGGGCCGTTGCATTACCTATGTAAATAGCAAATCAGCCAGGTAAATAATCTATTATTGTGTACATTTACAAAATAAACGCGATAACAATTCAAGTTACAATTGTTACCGTTTCTATTGTTAATCTTTTCATTCATTCATTTCAACGGTTTCCACGAGGTAATTCTTCACACTTGAAAATACCGCTATTTACAAAAAACTAATTTGCATATCAATACACCCCGATTGTTGAATGGCTAATTTTGATGCGCCTGCGCAGAGACGACTGATCAGCTGAACGGCGCTTATTACAAACCACAAAATCCTCATGTTTTCAGTGTTAAATTGACATTTCGTAGGAAAAGAGTTTTCATCAATGTGACAGTTCACAAAATGCCCAGGACCTTTCTTGTCCGAAGAACAGCATTACAATTTGAGAATCCATCTTCAACAGAAAGTCAAGAAGATAGTGAAATTAATTCTACTGAACTTCACGTGAACCACAATAATAAAGGTATGTTTATTTCATATGTAATCAAGCATGAAAGTGATGGCCTTTTATATCTTCTCTATTATTTAGATTTTTAAACATCTTTTTAAAATTCTATTAAAGTTATACCGTTATATAAATATAACGGGTTTTGTAAAAAGGCAAAAATTACCAAAATTAGCAACTGTTTGACAGAAATGTCTAGCACCTGTATCCGACGGGCATCTGTCAGCATCCGTTAAATAAGGATTGCAGACTGTTCATTATGATTGTAATAATTCAATGTTATCTCTGTCAAGTAAATCCTTGGTCTCGAGATTTTATTTGATAAAATGGGGATGTTTATTGCCATGTCAGATACAAATGAGTATTATTAATTAATTAAAATACTCTTATAATCATCGTATATATGTGTATTATCATGAGAATTGTGTATTACTGTTAATATAAATGTCAGAATGGTAAATTAATGATGGTTAACCACACATGGGAGAAGAATGTTTATAAGTAGACATGTGATTATGTTGTGTTGTTTCAAAGATTTCCCGATTTGATTATATCAGAGACATATAATATTGTATTATATGTCTCTGATTATATAGATAAAACTTTTTTAAAGAGTTCAACCGATACTTAAGTTCTCTAATATAGTAAAAATGAAACCAAAAGGTTTAAAATTATATCGTTTCATTCATTTTTTAACTTTATAGATATATATTCACATAAAAATGTTGACATAGAATTATAAATATCAAGTTTCAGCAAGCTACATATATAAAAACTTGGTTTAAGTAGGTTTTTTTATTGATCTATTTCAAACAAGTATTTCTCTAGAAAGGAAAGATTTTGGATAGACAGAAACCAAATGTACTAAACTTTAAGGTATATAAAAAAAAATAATGTTCCTACATACTTGATAATTTTGGTAAAATGGCTTTATACGATCTTTTGATACGGAAATATTCGGAGACTCACAGTCACAGTGTTGGTCTAAGATCCAGCTGGGACTATTATACTGTCAATATATTATGTCCCAGGATCAAGCAACTTTTTTTTCTTTTAAATTCATATACATCATGTACAAGAAACCTACTCTTGTCTGTTGTGTCCACTTTTAGTAAGACATTTTTAGACTAATGTACTAATGTATTATGTATTAGATCAAAGTTAGAGAAGTGTTTATATTACAAACTTTTCAATTGTTAATGATAAAGACCTTGATTAGACAATGACAACACACAGATTATACTGTTTTTACAGTTGATTTCTACGTTTCCATAATGTCTGGGAAACTTTAATTACCATGCATTAACACATCGGATCGAATAAAGTTCCCACCAATTAGTTTTTATTGTAATTAACCACGTAGCGAACCAAATCGATAAATTTCCGACATTCAAACAAGATTTACACCTCAACAGTGCGAATTCACCTGTCGCCTGGAATTGTCTGCACCGTTAGAACTCTGCATCATTAAAGATTAGGCCGACACACTCATATAATTCAAAACTTCAATTTAACTTTTGAAGACCGGTTAGAAGTTTGATTAAGTTATCATACCCCAAAGGGACCGAAGGTTATAAATTATAAAATAGATAGGAAAATTGTATTTCTTTATTTGTATAATTATGTTGTCAAATAGATTAATTTATTTGATAACTGTTGTCTGTTACAAAATACGGCAATTAGATGTTTGTGTTTTCTATATAAATATACCAACAGTACATTGTCCTTACATTTTTATAACAAATATAAATATATAATTTGTCATGTTATTGCTTAAGGCATGTAATAAATATACATACAATTTTATATTTAAATTTTCTCTTTCAAAATTTAACATAATCATTTCAAAGTCATTAATTATTCGGTAACATTAAAGATTTAACATCTTTGAAGAAAGAAACATTTTAAAACGAATTAAAGATGTTTTTCGAGTGGTATTTAAAACCCATCGGAACGCGCCAAAAAATTCAAATTACAATGTCCGTGAATAATTAAAATAACGGTTGATCGTTGATTAAATTTCATCATGCATCTAGCATCTGTCACTGACAGTCGATTGCAGTCTTCTGGTAATCTTGTATGGGCTTCAATATTGATTTTGGCTATTTTTCATTACCCAGGCGCTGTATCTGCGTTCTGGGATTGGTCGTCTGCATGATCAATAACGGTCGTCTGCCAGAGAGATGTATTTAAGGAACCTTTTTGTATTAGCATATTGATGGCGTTACACAATGATTAACGATTGAAAACAGGAAATTACTCTATTTTAGGTACCTAGTTGTAACAGCTGCGTAGTATGGATATTTTCTAAAATAAGAAAGGTCTTTGACGATATTTATTGATGTGCAGCAGACTTCTGCTTCACAGACAATTGATTTTTAAATTTGACGCTATTTGATGAATACGTCTTTTATACCGTCGGAATAAGAATGCCGTTAACATTCATGTATTCTTCAAATTTGCTAAGACTTTTTTCTCATACGTGGATACTAAAATATCTATGTTGTCAAAGAAACTGTCTCTGCTTTTATTAATAACATTTTTGATAAATACCCATTTATGAATGTATTAAATATCTCTCATTCTAACACAAAACGTGTCAAAATTAAGACATTTTTATCTCATTTTTTCGCCTATTTGGATTACGGTGACGGATTATGATTAGAGTGAAAACAATATGTTACCCGTGTGTTGTGACAACGGTGGTCCGTAGTATATGCAGGTAATCCCGGAAACAAATACGTGATATCCAGAGAAAACCGTGGACGATACAGTTAGGGATAAGGGGATTATATTTTAGTTTACATACTGATTCCTTTATTTGGTTATTTCATTACATTATAATCGCCATGATGTAAGTGGATAACGATGTTCATACATATTTGTGAATCGGGTTGAATCCGTTGATTTGCGGGTAATAAGTAACCGAGCAAAGGCGAGTCCGTGGTTACAAAGATTTACAGTCATCTTGTATTATTTAAACTATATGTACAGTTGTTGATTACATTTTCCTACCAGGGGATTGGGCAAGGAGGGGAAACTTGTACTCTGCCATCGTATATATATATATACAAGTAAATGTGTGATATTCCAGATTCCATATTCAATATTTTATTAGTCTCACTACTTTATTAGTTCCTATTAGTCTCACCACTTTATTAGTTCCAGCCACATTTTGAAGGCATAAATATGAATAATGAGATAGATTTTAATGCGTTCGACACGGTATTATATCTGAAAAAAAAAATTACATAAGGTTTGCTCAAAACCAAAAGTTTCTACAGCCAAATACGTAATACAAAAAAAATCTCTATTAGAACAGTCAAATCCGTCAAAGGTCAACTTGGGAATCAACTTGACTTTACTTGAGGTAGTTGTAACGAAATGACATAATACATGAATAAAAAAATTAAAAGAAGTCAAAATTTATAAAAGATTAATTCATGATAATACAAATAAGAAAACACAGATGCACGTTCACGCGATACACCTTTCGTTTCCGCACGAGGAAGCATCGCAATCTTTAAAAGAATATCAATTATTAAAATGAACACGAATTAAAGTTCATGTATGACGACTTTTACCTGTAAATATGCCTTTGTTTGATTATATCTTATGTTTTAAATAAGAATTTAGAAACATCTGTGTAGTTAAAATTAAATCTTCTGTAAACAGCGACAGATGTATAGCAGAACATATAAAAGTATTATTTAAAATATGTTTTTAGCAGGTAACATTCAAAAAGTTGAGCTATTAATGTTATTTTCACCTTCTAGGTACTCTTTTTGTAACTGTATTTTTTTGTACGTTTCACCTGGCTTAAAACTATTTAAAGATCTGTCCGTTACGATACAAAGTAAAAATAGTCGTAAAAAATGGGTCTTTATCAAGATAATTTGGTAACAGTTTGACGGCTCGATCATTAAATGGGGTGACTCTTGCGTAACGAAATAAATGTTTTACACTGATAACAATAAGAGGCTTCCAAACTGTGATTAAAACGCTACATGTAGCTATCATTTGGTAGACATGTAATCTTATGAGACTCGCGCTCTTTTTACAAAAAACAAACAAAAAATGAATGACATCCGTCTCTTTTTATAAAGAATATATGTAAAGAACGTAAATTTTAACGAATAATGAAATACTATAGTCATGTAAATGATAAAGATTTGGGACAAAATTAACCTAAACAGACAGAAAAATTAAAAATAAAAAAATAAAAAACCAAAACAGATGCAATACCAGTCAGAAAGCAAATTAGAAAATATAAAAATATGAATAAATAAAGTCCCATGTCCTCAGTTATAATGTCCGTTAAATACAGGACCTTAAGTCTTCTTGGTGCAGTGTCGGATCCAGAAATTTTCATAAGGGGGGCCCACTGACTGCCATAAGAGGGGGCCCGCTCCAGTCATTCTTCAGTGGTCCCTAAATAATTTACCAAATTTTCCCACAAAAAAGGAGGGGGGGGGAGTTGCGGGCACTCTGGGCCTCCCCCTAAATCCGCCTCTGTCTTGGTGGATAGACGGTCAGATCTGTTACAATCATTCCACTATCTATATTTTATTCCGACCAAAATTGATGTTATTATGGGCTTAGTCTAATAACACGCAAATTAAGTAATTTCTCGATTGACAAGATGTCAACACTACACGCTTGTCGTTGTGAAAATTCCATTTTATCCTACAACGGTTGCTTCATCATATTTCCTAATCAACTTTGTTAAGTAACACCTATTGAGTTATTGCCCGTTATGTATTTGTGAAATCTTAGCACTTCCTTCTTAAACGGCGATAAATTAATTAAAATGATCGGTGATTTATTAGTCTGATAAGAAAATCCATTCGATTTTACTGACACTTGCAATTATCGAAACTTTTATCCAATTTGCATTAAATCCCAGGATTCATATGAGAACGTACCAAAATTTTTTCGATATAATTGAACGTGTTATTTGTAATATTTTCCCAAAACCTGATAAAAATAAGAACGCAGATTAAACGAAAGCTTTCCGTCTGAGATCAAGATTAAGAAACTTCGAAAAACCCAAAATGGTTTCGTGAATAAAGGCATCTAAGAAACGTGATCAATTATACTATGGACTGTATTTTATAAATCATTATAGTTTGATTTGACTATATAACTATTTTGATTCGAGCGCCGCTGACGAGTCTTTTGTAAACGAAACGGCGTCAAGCATGCAAAGTTATAAGCCTGGTGTCTTTGACGAGTTTTTACAATCCGTGCAATTAATAAGTTCCAAGTAGACGAACGTGTATACTGCTATATAAGAGCGCGTCGCGCAAGCTCAAGATTCCAATATATTTAATAAGAGTATCTTTCTGGTATACCTATCTGTCACACGCGCACACAGATGATACATACTCTTGACTATGACTTAGTTTACAAATTAACGTTGAGGGGGGGGGGGGGGTATAATTAGTAATCGTTCGTGAAATGTTCATGTTTTATATAATAGTCAAAGGTTAAACTATTACAAAGCAAACACTTTGATAAAGTTTATGAACTTTTAATATGAAAGAAATTTTTGTAATGTTTTTCAGAGTCGAAGGTTGACAGCGGTCAACTTTTTAACGATCGATTTATGACACGCGAAGAAAAATGACCCTTCTAAATTTTTTGTGTCATTTTGAAGATTTTGAGAAGTACAGAGCAAATACGAAAAATTATGGCCTTTTGTCAGGGGAACAGTTAAAATGTAAAACAGTTAACCTATAAAATAGCAGGGGTCTTTTTAAACTATTCAAATTTGATAACCCAATACACCATTGAACGGGAAGTTGGAATGCAGGTTTTTGTTCCCACATAGAAAATTCTGAATGAATGAAAGATCATCTCAACGAGATGACCGTTAATTTAAAAGGAATTCCATTCAACATTTTTACCTTGAACCACTGTATGACCAACTTGTTATTTTCTAACACCTGTCGCACCTTGCGCTCTACCTGACAGGTAGAAATTGTTTGGTCGTTATAAACATCCAAAGACAGATGTGACACCTTTCTTATGAGGGTCAGAGGGGTGGTCCGCAGGGAGTCTAGGGAGTATCTTTTCTTCTTTATAAAAAAACACTTGCAATGTTTTGGCCAGAAGAAAAAGTCAAGTAATTTGAACATCTGCCGGTAGTGAATCCCGGTCAGTGTCATTCTTATGTCAAGAAGTAATATCTTTTAAATTAGGTCAAATCAAACCCTAGAGTACACTAAGGATAATTTATTCTTGACATCCCATTATTATTAAAATTAAAGATTTTATAAACTGAATGCACAGGAAATGCAAATAATTGTGTGTAATATTTAAATATTCCCCACTGTAATGGACAACTCAAGCATTCCTTCAGGCATATCATCTAAAGTTAAGATCGAAAAGTTATAACTTTTTACGGAAATTTATTTTTGATGATGCTTGACTTATTGACACACGTGCTTATTAATGATTTAAAAGATATGCATAGTCTCCTTCATTGATAACTACATTGAATTTAATTTCTAAACGTTGCTTCAGTAATCGTGCAAGCAGAAAAAAATTAAGTTATTTTCGTTTACGTAAGAATTGTGAACATAACTCGCATATGGAAAAAATATCTGGTTTTGCAAATGTACTGTTCACTTTTGCTGAACGAAAAGTCCCTCCTCCCACTCGGCCTAGAAAAAAATAATTTAGCAGTATCAAACTTTGTTTTCAGTTTTCATGCTCTAAAGTCCAACTTATAATAAACAACAGAACATTAAAAACATGCGGTGACAACGAATACAGTAAATTCAATAGATAATTTTTTAATGTTAGAAGGAAAGGCGAGTAATTCAGAAATGGCCACACACTGGTCGTAATGGCGATCACCAAAGTTTCAATCAATAGATAAACTATTTTTAAGTGTCCATATCTATTAAAATGTCATAATTCCTTAATGTGCAATTCCAGTTGTGAAGTTGTTAAAGAAATGCAACACGTTTTTTCTTGTGACAGCTGTATAAAGAGATCTGACCAACATGTCGCCACGGTCATTTATCGTAAATGTTGAAAGGATAAAAAAATCAAGCTGTGGCAAATTGATAATAAATGGGATAATTTTATATTTTTTTATACCCTATAAAATTAAACTATCGATAAACAACAGCTTACCCTGATAAATATCAAATACATGTATAAAATAAATGTATAATTGTATTCACGTCGTAATTTTCAGTTTCTAAATCTTAAATGTGTTTCATTATGTTGTTTGCGTCTGCCCTCGTCTTCCAGAAATATTTCAAGTAAATAGCCCGAAAGACTCTCATTAAATGCATATATACTTTAATAAACACTGAAGATCGTCTTGCCCCTTTCATGTGTGTAACTTGTATTCGTTTCGTCAAATTAATTAAGCAATCTTCTCTATTTTAGATTTCTTTTTTCAGATTTGAGCGTTCATGAAAGTTCATCCGACATTCCTCTGATAGAACCGAGAGTTAAAGAAGAAGAGGTCGAAGTCGAATCTGATTCTTCAAACTTAACAGAAGTGGTATCGTTTGATAAATCACCGACCTATCTGTCAAGGGCCATAAGCAAGGTCATCACAGTAGACTCGGTAACTGGGGTCATTGAAAATAAGACATCGTCGTTAAAGAGTTACATTAAGGAAGAGATACCAGATCCGGAACTAGACGCTGAAGTAGCCTATCATACTGACAGGTCATTTTCTAGTTCCACACGTGACATCAGTACATGTTCAAGACCTATAAGTATATCATCGGTGGAAAGCACCGGAAGTCAGGTTCACCATAGCAACACGTACAGTGATATCTCAGAGTCGAGTTTTCAAGAACATATTCGAGAAAGGATTGCACCGTTATCTCTTCCTCTGATAACTCCTCATCAGCCATTGCCTCCCTTTGCCTCTTTGGCTTACAACGTTTTTGTATCATCTAGAAAAACAATGGGTGAAACATTGCAGGAGACTGTTACCATGGATACACAACCAACCACAGTAATGAAACTTCCTCTTCGATTTCCATTGAACAATGATCAGGATCAGTGCTCATTGAAAAATGAAAGACTTACAGACGATGGTCAAAGTTGTGAGAACAAACAAACAAAAGAAACGAGGGTGAAATCAAATGACGAAATTAGTGAGAAGAAATTCGAGTCTTCTGAACAAAAACAAACCAAAGTCAATCCAAAAGAAACAATAAAAAGTGCTCCCAAAATATGGAACCCGTTCCATTATGTATCTACACCAAAAACAAACAAAGTGCTACCTGTTTCACCAGCATTTAGTTCTCCTGTTAGCCAGATTGTAAATAATTTGCGAAGTCCACATTTACCTCAATCTGTTATTAACTATGCTACCCCTTTTATTGCAAATTCATATCATCATTCAGAAAGACTGGATTCACCTCAGATGAGAATACCAGAAGTTCGGATTCCAGATGCTGAAAGATGTTACAACTTCTCATACAGTACTAGATCCCCCTTCTTACGGGAACCAGGCAGCTCTTTTCAGACGGTTCCGCAGATTAATGCTTCTCAGAATGTAAATTCCGTTTTCTCACCAAGAATACCCAGTCCATTTTTACCATACAGATCACATTGCACTCCTGAATCGTATGCTTCAAGTACAATGCCACCTTCGAGGACGTCGACTCCTACCATAACACCAATTCCGACAACGCCAATTCATCGAATTACGCCAATTTCGACAACACCGATTCGGTCGATACCAGAAGTTCATATGTCCAATGCACAGAAACGTCCTTGTACACCAGTGTCTGAAACACCAAAAAGACTACGTGTAGACAATGTTCCTTTTCAAATATATAAAGAAAGTCCGACGCAAAGTTTTGACCAATGTTTTCAGAATTTGCCGTACCGATGTCCTATAACACCGGTCATTACGAACAATGCTAGTCAAAATCAGGAGAATACATCGGTGAACAGGACACCAGTCACTCATCTGCAACAAAGGGCAGCGCTGCAACATGGGTCCCCTATTCTGGCACCATCGTCTATCTCCAAAGAAAATATACCAAACCAGAGTTCCAAAGACGTAGTTTTGAAAGTCGTAAAGGTATGTATACATTTATGTTCTATATTTAATAGTTTTAGCATGTCAAATGATTAGTGAAATGAACAAATTGTTCACAAGTTGTTTAGTTTAAACATATTTTATTTGCAAAAGTAGCAAAAGGGATTGGACACAAGTTATAACAACATTAGTGACGTCCTCTCCCTATATAAATATAAACACAAAGTACATTAGATAATGACGAAAAACATAGTAGGAATGCATGTATAAATACAAACTGCATACAAAAACAAAAAACAAAAAACAAAAAAATACAATATAATATGGAATAATATATAAAACTGGACTGGAGTGAAGAGTTGGAAAGTAGGAATTCAGAATGTTAATTGATTGTTTTAAATCTTTGTGTTATTCTGATATATGATTGTACAGACTCAAAAATTTCTTTGTTTTGCTGAAAAGAAAGATCACCGTCACCAGCCAATAGAAGCTCAATGGATATAGCATACCTTTCTAATTTTGAAAACAATATTTCTCTTGCTTCGTTGTTCGTCACGCCTAGTATCATCATCTTCATGAATCTGTAACATTTTCCAATAGAAGGCCACTTTTGCTCAATATTAATGTGAAAAAAATGATACAGTAACAATCGACAAAAAATGTGTTGTTTCTCGAGTTTCCATCCCTATTGCAAATTTCTGGACGCGATTGAATAAATAAAAGCGAAAGTCTATACTGAACAAATTTGGAAATACGAAGCCTCCCCAACCCCAAAAAAGCTCACCGAAACATTGTACAAATACAATCTCTTATGCTCTAGTTGCAAATGGGTATGACATTTTTTATGGCAACGAGACTTGATTCAGTGTTTATTTTTTAGACACAGCAGACACCACAGAAATTCGAAGTGATAAATGGAGGTTACGGTATAAAGAACCCGTCATTTGTGCCGCCAAAGCCTGCTGATATTACAAATATACAACAAGGTATGTACATTTAAGTCATAAAAGAAAAAAATGTTATCCATGGGACATCACTCCATGTCTACAACACTTTCATTCACCAGGTGATGTTGTTCAGTACTTGGCACGCGCCGCAAACTTAGAAAAGTGTGTCGTATTTTAAATAGACAATTTACCAGTCACAGTTTCGCGCTGTTTTCTTTATCTTAAGATGCTTGAGTAAAGACCATATGTTCACATTTTACTTCACAATTAAATATTTCCTCGTCATTATTTAAATGTTTGATTAAAAATGACTAAATCGTTAAAAGTTGCCACTTGACAAATTTCATTATGATTTAACTTTATTTACAAATCAGTAAAATGTCAATAAAGGTCTTTTCACAAAGATAACTAACTGTGCGATACTGGTCGTAGGTAAACAGGTTACAAATTGTACTATTATTCAATAAACAGGTAACAAATGTACTATTATACAATAGAGTGAATAGTGTCTATTTCAGTACAATTATGTAAAATTTAAATACGCCTTGTAGGATGTGAACTGTTTGACTTGACATTGTTACAGTAATGGATAGTGTATTGCCACTTTACAATAAAACATTTTTTTTAAAGATAAAAAATACGCTAAGTATTTTAAGTATTTTTAAATGGAACACCGTAAAAAAAGATCGTCACGTAACCTACTAGACATTATTTTTTTTTCGTTTGTATTGTTTCTTTCATATCGGGGTCTTTTTTCGCCGTCTTTACGATATGGGTTTTCTTATTGTTGAAGGCCGTACGGTGGCCTATATTTGTCTAATAGCACTTTATTTTAACTCTGGTGCATAGTTGTCTTATTGGCAATCATACCAAATCTCCTCATTTTCATATTGAATTAGTTTTACGGTTAGTCGTAGAGCCCAAAAGGGGGCGCATAAACGAATACTTTGTTGACCCAAATCGCGTTATGATTCCCTCGTGTATGCACATCGATATGATGAATTTTAGTGATATTCTGGAATACTTCCACTAGTATATAAAATGTTTATTTTTTCTTCACAGACGAAAACGGAAAAGGAAGCTTTATGTGCAAAGTTTGCGGCAAAGAATTTACCATTCAACGATTACTTAACCGCCATCTGAAATGTCATAGCGAGGCAAAAAGATACTTGTGCACTTTTTGTGGGAAAGGTTTCAACGACACGTTCGACTTGAAACGACATACTCGTATTCATACAGGTACGTTTAGTAATAAACATATGATATTCATAAATCATAACAACTGCTTTTAACAAATCAAATAACCAGTTGTATTGTTGTCGTCAAACACTAGAACTGTTCTTTACTGAGGTGTCCTAATAAATCTGTTAATGCATGTCCGTACAAAATCATTAATTATAGCATCAGTTCTCATTTAATACATATATCTATAACGAGAAAGATACGATGTATAACATTTACAGTTTTATTTAACTAGCACTTTTCGGTTCAGCAAAAGATATTTTTTGAAGCGTATAGGTTCTATACATATATCTATAACGAGAAAGATACGATGTATAACATTTACAGTTTTATATAACTAGCACTTTTCGGTTTAGAAAAGATATTTTTTGAAGCGTATAGGTTCTATACATATATCTATAACGAGAAAGATACGATGTATAACATTTACAGTTTTATATAACTAGCACTTTTCGGTTCAGCAAAAGATATTTTTGAAGAGTATAGGTTCTATACATATATCTATAACGAGAAAGATACGATGTATAACATTTACAGTTTTATTTAACTAGCACTTTTCGGTTCAGCAAAAGATATTTTTTGAAGCGTATAGGTTCTATACATATATCTATAACGAGAAAGATACGATGTATAACATTTACAGTTTTATATAACTAGCACTTTTCGGTTCAGCAAAAGATATTTTGTGAAGCGTATAGGTTCTATACATATATCTATAACGAGAAAGATACGATGTATAACATTTACAGTTTTATATAACTAACACTTTTCGGTTCAGCAAAAGATATTTTTTGAAGAGTATAGGTTCTATACATATATCTATAACGAGAAAGATACGATGTATAACATTTACAGTTTTATATAACTAGCACTTTTCGGTTCAGCAAAAGATATTTTGTGAAGAGTATAGGTTCTATACATATATCTATAACGAGAAAGATACGATGTATAACATTTACAGTTTTATATAACTAGCACTTTTCGGTTCAGCAAAAGATATTTTGTGAAGAGTATAGGTTCTATACATATATCTATAACGAGAAAGATACGATGTATAACATTTACAGTTTTATATAACTAGCACTTTTCGGTTCAGCAAAAGATATTTTGTGAAGAGTATAGGTTCTATACATTTGTTGTCATCTACTACCAATAAGTCGACATTGTTAAAAGGCATATGAACTGTTCCGTTATGAACATAATGAATACATTCATGTGTACACTTTCATTTGAATATACGCAATAAAACAAGTAGACTTATATATCCTTTAACGTTTCATATTTAAATTCAAATACTATATCGAATCATCTCTCTTTAACGATTTATTAAACGATTGTTATTTTAATATTAGGTTTACATGTCAAAGTTTACATCGCCGCGATGTAGCCTTTTGCGCTGATGTTGCGTAGAGCAAACACCAATCAATCAAAGTTTACATCGTCTCGATGTAGCCTTTTGCGCTGGTGCGGCGTAGAGCAAACACCAATCAATCAAAGTTTACATCGCCGCGATGTAGCCTTTTGCGCTGGTGCGGCGTAGAGCAAACACCAATCAATCAAAGTTTACATCGCCGCGATGTAGCCTTTTGCGCTGGTGCGGCGTAGAGCAAACACCAATCAATCATAGTTTACATCGCCACGATATAGACTTTTCGCATTGATCCGATGTTAAGCAAACACCAATCAATCACTCAATCAATCAAAGTTAACAACTTGAAAATTATTTTTGTTGTTAACTCACTTTCACAATTATATTCGTAAGCATGACAATAATATGTTCTTAATTTCAGGTGTAAAGCCATACAAATGCGAGCATTGTGAGAAGGCGTTCACACAGCGATGTTCATTGGAGTCGCACAGTCGCAAGGTACACAGTATGGAACTAAGCTATGGTTACAAACAACGGCGCAATAAAACGTACGTTTGTGAGGATTGTGGTCATTCTACAACGGATCCGGAAGTTCACTTTAAGCATTTGAAAGATCATCATCCTAACTGCCCAGCACTTGCCAAACCACATGATAAAAGACATTTCAAATTCCAGGCAAATGGAAGACCTTCTGGTTCGCCTTTACGACTAAGACACTAACTTTTGTATATTTTTGTCTCTTGTTATTGTTTCAAAGTATTATTTATTTTCCGTCCCATTGTTGTATATTAAAATGAAATACATTTGTATGAAAGATAGGGCTAAATATTACAGTTCAAGAAAAATGGCGTGCAATACATAACTTGAGCTTTTTGTTTATATGTATAAAGATATATCATGAATGAAATCCTTGAATGAACTGAATTCCATGTATGCCTATTTCATTATGGGCATGCATCATTAAAATATGAAAACTGTGTTTTCTTACGTTAGTTTTTGTTGTTATACAAGAAGGGCAGAAAATACTGAATGGGTTTTTCAAACCTTTGTAAGTTAATGACAAAAAACAAAAAACGACAAAAAAAACCCTCCAAAACAAACAAACAGCAGTATACAAATGCAACCTAGAAAACAAAAGATTAAGTAACACGAACTCAACCAAAAACCGGGGATGACTTGTGGTGCTCCGGAAGGGTAGGCACATACTGCTTCAAATGTAGCATCTGTTGAGTTGTTCATGTAAGTACAAACTCGGTTATAAGTCTAATGCGGTGAAGTCACATTCAAGGAAAAGAGGACTAGATTATGGTTACGACCATAGGAACATATCTGCCGTCATCTGTGAAACAGATATTACATAACGATAAAGGTATATATATAAAAGAATACAAAGGCTGGTCTAAAGGAATTAGTATACGTATTTCATTTGTTAAAAAAACCAATTACTATATAAAAAAGTAGATGTGGTATGATTGCCAATGAGACAACTAACCACCACAGTCCATATGACGTGGATGTCCGGAACTATTGATCACAGAACGGTCACAAACAGTCAGCTATAAAAGGCCTTATTTATGATAAAATATTTTAAAACAACACGATTTTTTTGTCGACTCTGCGACTTCTATCGCAGAAAGCTCGACATAGGGATAGTGATCCGGCGGCGGCGGCAATGGCGACATTAACCAAACACTTAAAAGCTTTATATTCTAGAAGATAGAAGAACTAGATATTTCCTACTTTGTATATAGATGCCTTATGTTATGAAGTTTCCGTCTGTCATATGCCCATTGTCCTTGACCTCATTTTCATGGTTCAGTGACTACTTGAAAAAAGTGAAGATTTATTGTGATGTTAATTTCTCTCTTACAAGGAGTAATAGGATAACTATTTAGTATGTGCTTACTTTGCAAGGTCCTCGTGGCTGTCAGACAGTTATCATATGATATCGACCTCATTTAATGGATCAGTGAACATGTTAAGTTTTCGTGGTCAAGTCAATATCTCAGATACTATAAGCGATAGGGCTAATATATTTGGTGTATGGAATGTTGTAAGGTGTACAGGTTCAACTGGCAGGTGTCATCTGACCTTGGTCTCATTTTCATGGTTCAGTAGTTACAGTTAAGTTTTATTTGACCATGACCTCATTTTCACGGTTCATTGCTCAGTGTTAAGTTTTTAATGTTTTGTTCTGTTTTTCTTAAATTATAAGCAATAGGTCAACTATATTTTGTGTATGGAATGATTATAAGTTGTATATGTCTGTCTGGCGTTGTGATCTGACCTTGACCTCATTTTCATGGCGCATTGGTCAATGTTTAGTTTTCATAGTTTTTTTAATTTCTAAGATACTATAAGCAATATGTCGACTATGTTTAATGCATATATTGATTTTAAGTCTGTCTGTCATGGTTCATTGGTTAATGTTAAGTTCGTTTCTAAGAAACTATAAGCAATTATAGGTCAACTATATTTGATGTATGGAATGGTTGTGAGGTGTGCATGTATTTCCATTTTGATTTTGGTTTATCTGACCTTGACCTCATTTTCTTGGATCATCTTAAGTTTATGTGATGATTGTAATAAAGCTTTATATTTAGGACTGTCATAATAAAATCAATGGTCAGTAAAGCAGGCCAGCCATTTCAGCGTGTGCATTCTTGATTTATTTACGAACAATAACAACCACTGAATCTGAGGGGATTTTGACTTGTCGAGATTAAACATGAGCGCCAAACCCTCCCACAAACATGGAATAGTGGTTTAACAGCACAACATAGGAGCAAAATGTTTCAATCAGTTGAAAATGACCCAGCTTATTCGATTGGCACGAACCGTCTACTGATCTAGTATACTTTACTGTACTAGTTTACTACTCAACCAAACATAATGTCAAAATAATATGAGACAAAGTGAAAAGCTGGCTAAAATCTTAATTGAACTAACGTTAAGTCGGGTACCAGGATCCTTAAATAAGTGCTATACCTGGAACTAGTACATAATGGGACTTAAAACTAAAAAAAAATTCTATTACTTTCACATTTCAGAAAATATGGATGTTTGCATCCCTCGTGTTGGAGATAGTACAATAAATGAACTACTTTAAATGCTACATTATCTGACTAATTAACTATTCTTGAGTTATGCTCCTTAATTAGAATACACTACTAAGGAATAAGCGAGAAAAATACTTGAAATAGTAAAATGCTTTAAGTAATTTTTACCCGATTGCTTGATACTTCAAGTTCTCCGTGAGTGCCATTCTATTAATTAAAAGAAGATATAAAAGGTCAACTATAGTATAAAACGAGTATTACTAGCAGTTGCCTTGGTTTTACATTTAACACATTTGGAACTATTATACAAACATTTGTCGAAAAAGATCCACACAAATTAAAAAGTTCCTTTTTTATTCGTTTCTTTCTTGTTACCTTGCTGCCATTCCACCAACCTATACGACTGCCGACAGGAATTAACATTGGGGCACGGGAAAAATAAAGAAAAATTTTCCCCTAGGTTCAAGGAACCAGTCGAATCGGAACACAATACAACCTTTTTTCCAGTGGAATTCAAATTGGCCGATTAATTTGGAGCTTGTAGACAGACAAATAGGACTTGTTTTATCATTAAAGTATAATACGGTCTAAGGCAAATATGTAGAATATCTTCTCAAAAAAACTCAAACAAATACATGTTAGTGTCGGAAAGATGTCATGTAATTCATAAAGTAAAGTTACTTTGGCCCAGTCGGAAAAGTAGTATGGTTTATCACTGGGGTCGATGAATAATTCGTAGAAAAAAAATCAACTACATATATGGGATGTATTTGTCAGCGTATATTTGTTACGCCTAACAGAAGTTCCGAATTCTGGCGTAATTGATCATACCTTTGACAGATACAATTTGGAACAAACGAAACAGATGTATTTTATAAATAGCTTGACACAAAAGGAATGCAGCCGAAATTGTCTACCTAGACACGAAGCGGCAAATTTACGTCTCGAAATCGTAAGGAGACAAACATATTAGAAGAAGGGGGATATCAGTTTTTTTCAAATGAATACTCTGACACACAAAGGTTGAAAGTAAATATTCTGACCAGATTAGAAAGTACAAACTATAAGATTAGCAATAAAATGAAAATACATACCCGGTTATGGAAATATTCAAAAATGACCAAAATTCTGACCCAAAACAATTTCCCAGGCACTTCAATCCAACATAGCTGCATAAAATGGCTCCATGATGACAAGTTATGTCACTGTTGGAAATAAATGCGAGATCGAAAAATCTAGAAAAAAGGACGTTGCTGAAAATGGGAGGTTGAGGGGAAAAGATCATTCGAGTGTGCTTCATTTGTAACACAACAAGATAGTTAGTTAACAGTTTATTTATTTACGCCAAATGAGCCGATGTGTCCCATACAGTAAATACATAGGTATATATACAGAATATAACAGTTTGTCAAAGTTTCTATTAATTTGACAATAATAGTTTTAATTCTAAAGGTACATGGATGAATATCTATTAAGTTGACTCTAATTGACATGTTTTGACCAAGCTGGAAATTGATAGTTGTAGAATACACGTATGTCCAGTCTTTTAACTAATTGTTATTACAACATGTCACCATCTGGTTTGCATGTAAACATGTTTTTAAAGTTATATGCAACGTAGTGGTCAATTAAAACAACCTTTCCCAAGGTCATGATTTTCTTAATAGATATTCCCCTGTATTTATTTTATTCAATTTAATAAACATTTTGAGAATATATAATCATAAATATAAATATAAATATATATATATATAAATATATATATATATTTTAAGCCCATCATATTGTCACATTCCTCCCTTTCTTAAGAAATATAATTTTATATTTTAGTTTAAATCGGTGACAATATGAATGCTTACAAATTCCACAAAAAAAAAACAATATTCATAAACAAAATCATTTCAAAAGTTCAACAACATCTAAATGTCCAGCAATGTATAGTTCATACAATTCTTGTGTGAATAACTAAGTTGTTATAGTTCTATCATAACACTCCTCGTAACATCAAATATCGGAACTTCTTAATTCTAGAAAAAGGCGCAACCATCAACTGCGGACTGTCTTCATAACCCCGACTCCGGTGAACTTCTCCTCCGATCGTCGTTGTCAACTCCAACAATCCGTTTGTTTATCTGCAACGCCAATTCCCGTCATTCAGAAGTACTGCAACTACTCCGACTATCGTTGATAACTCCGACCTCCACGTGATCAACCATCGGTCGTTGATAACTCCGACCTCCATGTGATCCACCATCAGTCGTTGATAACTCCGACTTCCATATGATCCACCCTTAGTCGTTGATATACTCCGACCTCCATGTGATCCACCATCAGTCGTTGATATACTCCGACCTCCATGTGATCCACCATCAGTCGTTGATATACTCCGACCTCCACGTGATCCACCATTAGTCGTTGATATTACTCCTAACTGACCTAGCTTACCTACCCTGTTGATTCAGGGTCCCTGAATAGGTTGCTCAGTTATCACCGGCTGAAACAATTCAGGCAAATCTACCTGTGATGTTGTAGAACGATTCCCTCTACCAATATAAAGTTATGTGATCGTATAGTTTTATTTACATCTAAACGTCTGCGTTGTGTCCAAAATCAAAGCCAATATCCAGTGTTCTTTTCCAATCATCATTCTTGTGGTCAGTTAACTTGATTGCTACTACTCATTGTTTGACAAGTTGAGTACTGGATAATGGTTCTTAGTGGCTGGTTCTAATAGTGGTGCAGTAGCTATTTTAACATCTCTGGAGGCAGTACCATCGCCCTCAACATTAGTTGACACCACTTGATCGCCACCAAGGTATCTTGTGACTATTTGAACCTCTTTATTATTATTCATTCTCTTGGCTAAACACCTATTCTTAATATTTTGACGATATTTACAAAATAAATATAACATAATCCCTATAGTAAAAGCAACGAAAAAATAAATTAATGCATATGCCCAATTTGGCAGCCCAAAATCTTCCTCAATAGAATCTAACTGGTTCAATTGATAAATTAAATTGTCCATCGGTATGTTATCTATATTTTTTAGTTCTTTTGGTAACTTTGTCAAGTTAAATTTTGGAAAAGTTTTATGAAATGGCTTCCATATTCCTAAGTTAGTAAAGTTATATGACTTGATTAATTCTGCAAATTGGTCTTGAACTTGAAACTTACTTTTCGAATGAAGAAATGGCAAAAGCGCCATATAATCATTATTAGCAGTACATGATTCATTTAATTTTAATATATCTATAGGTGGAAAAATCTCTGTACTAGAAGTTATTTTCTGATCCGCGTATCTACAAGCTATTGCAAATTTCAAAGGTATTCTTGTCGTAATTAACCATGAACCGGATGAGATATACTTTGCCCTAGGCAGGACGGCAAAAGGTTTAACTAGGGTCTGACAATCAACCAATACTTTCCTGCCTTTTTTCATAAACAGAGTTGTGATGCACAGATTACTCAGATTAATTGGATATGTTGGACTACTTACAGCACAATACGGTACTAAAGGATGCGTGCATTGTATTATTTCATTTTGATCAAATAAAATATATTTTGACCTCTCAGCATTAACGGCAATATATTCTGATTCTAGATTGAACTTAGCAACCATGTTAACATTTGTTTTATTCGATTGCATGGGTAATGGTAAATTGAAGACTTTATACACTTCAAATTTATTATTGTAGTCTAAAAGTGGGACAGAAATGACAACAAAAATCTTCCTCTCATAGATTAAAGTAGTGCAAGTTAAAAATTGATAAAATGCCCAAAGATCTTTAGTTGGATCTTTTGGAAGTTTAAGGTATGCCGGTAATTGAGACTGTATTTCTAAAAGAAGATACCTAAACGATGTTGGATTGATGGTGCTAGGCGACAGATGACCCAATGATAACATGTTCAACTGAGAATTTAGGTGAACAAAATAAAATGTCGCCCTCTGAACCATTAACTTCATTTCACTCGTAATTACATCCAATTTTGCGTATATGTCGACAAAGGTTTCTAAATCCGCAATCTCTTTTTTTAAAAGTTTAGTGATATTTCTTAACTTTAGATCAACGTCATGTAAACCTACAGTTAAACTATTAATGGTTTTTCGATTTTGTGCAACTTCAGCCCTCGTGATATTTACTATTGTGAGACTTTCACTTAAGACATGTGAAATGCGTCTTTGGTTTTTTGCCAAAACTCTTATATTGCTATTTATAGTACGCAAATCTTCGTCTGAAACTGTTCCGAAAAGAAAGCTCATAATACGCCCCACGAATGGAAGAACTGAACGCTTAGTTCGGTGTTGCAATTTATCGTATTCTTGAAGGCCACTTAGAATGGTTTCATACATTCCAGTAAGCCATCGGTATTCTTCTCTTAGACTATTTAAAGTCCTAAAATACATCTCATAACCTGGCTTGCTATAAAATACAGTAACTCTCTGAGCAAGTATAAAGGATTGTGCAATGTCTTTTGATAATTGATTAACAAAATCTTCAAAAGGAGCGAGATCAATGACAAAAGTAACCAACCAATTAGACCTCGTAGTGGTAATCTCATTAACTTTATGAAAGACAACATTTTCTTGAATGAAAGTAGAAACACTTGAACCAAAGAGGATAATAACCAAGAGAATCATAGTCATTCTTTTCATTCTTGGCCTACAAGAAAAGAAAACAATAACTGGGAATTTTCTAAGAAATATCTTTGATTTTTCTTTGGTTAGTGATAGTATATATATATTTTTTTTTCAGATTAATAGAGTTTAATACTGGATACTAAATACTTGCTGTTAATAGAATGGAATGTTTGTTTTAGTAAATGAAACACAAACTACAGTTATTTAAGTTATTTGTATATAATTATATTATAACAAGCAGTTAATAATACTCGTATAAGTGATCTGGCAATCATGTTGCCAGATGACGTATAATGTTTTTTGTTCGACTGGGTTTCAGATTGGTGTTATCACCTTGAAGGTCCCAGTCATTGTTATGTCCAAAATTAATTATAGTTGTTAATTCATCTTTTACAGCCAGTTTATCTACAATTCTTTCCATCCGGAAATCTGTTGGTCCCCACCTCTTGTGGATGACCATGTATCGTAACATGATAGCAATCACCTTCAATAGTTGCATAATCATCTAAAATAGATCAATCAAAATATAATTAAATTCTAAAAAGTTGTCTGGTAATAATTTTTTGTAATTCATTTTTGCTGCATTCTTCAAACATGGTACTGAGAAGATGTTCGAACATTGCCAGTTCAAAAAGATATTGATCTCCTGACTCTATTGTGTTTAGTTCAATGACCTTCACCCATTCATTAATCAAGCGTGGTGATAAGTTAATTTCTCCACCCACAGATGGATTAAAAGTGTCCATACACTGCCGAAAAATCCTTGTGAGAACAGTAATTTCTGCCTTTATACATACTTTCAAATATAAGGTATTATAAACCTTCTTAACCAGAGATGGGCGAATCCCAATTTTGTTAATTGATGTTTTTGAACCATGATGGATGATGTTAGTAATTAATCGAATTGAATATGCTATTTCAGCAGTTTTTCTTTTCAAAAAATCGGCATGGCATCTTCTAATCATTTTTATTATTTCATTTGGCAATGCATGGGTCTCTTCAATAAATTCGATCGGCAGTGCAAGGATTGCTTCTGTATCTTCCATCTGTAGTTAGAATAAAGAAAAAAATTAATAATTATTTAATGTTAAAAAAATGTTCAACTATAGTAATTTTCTAACATGTTCCTTATATTCAGGATGTTGCCTACAGTATGAAAATTCACTTTGTACACTTGTCCCAAACTCTATCAAAGCGGTAATATAAGAATTTTCCTCTACTTCACTTATGACTCTACTGGTAATTACCCAGCCCTTAATTATTGATGGTATAAGATTAGTATTGCCTATCTCAGATGGAGGCCTAAATGTTTCTACATATGATTGAAAAATGCTTGAAAGTACTACAATTTCATACTGTTGCCATTTTTTTTTTATATCTTGCCCCTATAAATCGCTTAATAAGGGATGGTCGAATAATGAATTCATCCATATTCATAGCGGAAGGCCTGAGTGCAATTATTGACTTGAATTCTTTATTCATAGGTCGTTTTAGGAATGCCATATATTCTCGATGGTTCTTGCGCACTATACGCCTCAATTCCCAGGGCAAGGAAGCAACAAATTCTAATCGAAGATCAGCATTAAGACAATCCATCTGAAGTGATATGATAAAATCATTTGATTACATAATTACAAGTTATACACTAATTCCCTATATATCTATATACATAATTATTCTAAACACTAATGAAGCCTATGACTATGTTTTGTTAGTCGTGCATTTTATTAAAATAACAAGAAATGTTTGAGAGAAATTTTAACATTAATTCGTCTTTCTTTTCAGACTTTTTAACAATTCGCTTAGTTTTCTTTGGTATTCTAATTTCATCAACAGACATTTTTTGACTGCTTTCTGAATTATACCCATCGGAATTATTATTATCTGACATTCTATAACCGGAACCGGAAGTAACGGAAGAATTTTCATCCTCCTTTTCGCGTCGGTTTCTGTTTGCTATTTTCTGTTTTAATTCAGCGAGCGGAATATTGTCCTCGTCGGACGATGTTTCTCGTTCTTGTCGGTAACGATTTATGAGTCTTTCTCGAGGATTAGCGTCCGGAAGTTCACTTTCACTACCGTCATTGTCCTCGGGAGGTACAACATAATTTGTTTTCCTTAATTGCCTACCTTCTATATTTGTTGGAATAACCCATTCATCAATCTTAGCTTTTTTAAGGTGTTCTAAATGGACTTTTCTAGCGACAGACCCATCTAATTGGTTTTTAAGGACAAAAGTTTCCGGAGAAGTTTTCTCAATTATTCTGTAATAAGGTTTCCACTTAGTGTCTAATTTACTTTTTCTTAAATGATTTTTGTAATATACTGGATCACCAATTTCTAAATTTATTTCTTGTCTATTTTTATCTGCGTTTTGTTTTTGTTTTTCTTTAGATTTCTTCAAATTTCTATGAACTAAAACGAAAGATTTATGTTGTTGTTCTAACAAAATCTTGTGCGGATCTTCACCTACATATTTCCTTCTAGGTTTTAACAGATTATCAATTGGAAGAACAGGATCTCTATTGTATAAAAGAAAAAATGGAGAAAATTTTGTTGATTCATTTTTTTGAAACCTAATAGCTGCTATTGTTTGATTTAAGCATACGTCCCAAGTAGACGCGTCACTTTGCAATTTCTTTGCCATGACGTCATGAAGCGTCCTGTGAAATCTTTCTACTTTCGCGTTTCCCTGTGGATGATAAAAAGAAGTTGTTATGTGACTTATATTCAATTCTTTTAAAGTTTCTTCAAATATTTTGGAGGTGAATTCACCGCCATTGTCTGACACTATAACCAAAGGCACGGAAAAGTTTGGAATTATTTCTTCAATTAATA